TGTGGCACTGATTTTAGGTGCATGCAGAATGCAAGAGTTCTGAGGTTAATAATGCTTCCACCTTGATTTCAGAAGGCCTGGGAGGCCAGGCAATGTACCCCTGAGAGGGCAGTGCATAAAGCTGTGAGTGTGAAGCAAAAGGTGCAGTGGAGACCCTAAAAGTTTTAAAAAGACAGAAATGTGAATTGTCTAAAAAAATCCACAAGGAAAGCATAAAGCAGGCCCAAGAAAAAAGCCATGGGAGCTACAGCCACCAAAAGTGCCATGGGGGTGGAGTCATGCAAGCCCTTTGGAGCTCACAATGTGCCACTGGACATGGAACTATAGGACTTACTGTGTGCCCTGCTGGATTTTAGACTTCCTTTGATCCCATTCCTTTGTATTCCTCCGTTTGTAACTTTTGGAATGAAAATGCTTATTTTGTGCCATTGAATGTTGAAAGTGTTTAACTTCTCATTTGTACAGGGGCTTGCAACTCAGTTTGCCTTACATCTCAGAGGAAACTTGGTACTTGGACTTTTCAGCAATGCTGAAATTGTTAGGGCTTTGGCAACTCTTGGAGATGGACTAAATGCCTTTTGCATAAAGGAATGTGCATGAGTCTTTGGGGGGTAAAATATTATGGTTCTAATGTAATATAATATTGACAGACTTAACACTTTTTCTTAAGGATTGTTAAACCTGTGTTATAATGTTCAAGTGTGAAATGATAAAAATAATGTCTTTGTATCTGGAAACTGGTTTAAAGAAATGTATCTGGTTGCCACATTGACAATGCGTGGACTGTTATGGTTGATACATTGTGTCAACTTGAGGAGTCTAATACCCTAACTAAAGAACTTGGCAGTTCTACATCCTGGGGTAAAAGGACATGCCCTTTCTGCTCTAGGATGTTGTTCATTGTGTCAATTTGAGAAGTTTAGAAGGTTAACTATGTGACTTAGCAGGGAGCCAGCTTCCATACTTTGTATTCATCCTGAGCCTGTGCAAGAGGACTGCCAGGAGATGGTGTGGGTGTGGATGTGGGTGTGGGTGGATAGCCAGCACACAATATAAGGGAGGGAAAGAGGTTTGCTTCCCTCACTTTTTGTTCTTGCTGCTTTTGCTGTCTTGTGCCACCTTAAAGTGTTGCCCCTGTGCTATTTCACCCTGCCTTGGAGCCAGCTGATTATAGATTGAAACTCCCACAAACTGTAAACTAAATAAACCTTTCCTTCCTTAATTTTGGGCATTGGGTATTTTGTCTC